CTGTGTAAACATGCAGATGGGGTCCAGAGCTTGGAGTGCTAACTCCTCTGGGCCTGCTGGTGTAATTAACCTGAGTTCTTCAGCCCTCTGAGTGCTGCTTGGTCTCTCGCCTGGATCCAGGTTGCTGTCACAACTGAGCCATAACACTGAGCTATAACACTGAGCTGTAACACATTTTTTCTGTAACAGCAGGTGCAGAGTAAGTACTCATTCATCATTAGTTGCTCTTAGTACTGGTAATAATGCAGCCTCAGAATGCATTTGCTTTGCTATTTTGGTGGTGATCTTTATTGCATTTACTGTCAACAAAAATTCAGTAGGTAGTACATCAGTTTATTTCAGTGGTTTTCCACTGGGGAAATTTTGCCCCCTGGAGGACATTTGGCAGAGTCTGGAGACATTTTTGGTTGTCACAACTGGGGGAGAGGCACAGCATCCTAGAGGAAGAACCTACGTTTGGTCCAGCCAGTTTTTGTGCCATTTGCATTTTGAATTTCCGCATGGGTTCTTTATGTTTTTGTTAAAAATGCATTCACTTTGATAGTTTCAGTTCATCTTTGCTACTTGGCTAGATTTTTTTGTGTCCTAATTCTTTCACCCAAATGCTATCTTGCCATCTGGGAATTGGCTAAACTATCTTCCAGGTCTTTGGCTAGGTCATTGGTTATATGATGGTTTTAAGCATTAGGGCTTAAGTCAGAGGCCAATGGCGTTTTATTGTTGGAGCTTTCTTCCAGGTTAACACTGAGCCATTAGGAAATACTCTTTAAGTATAGTTGTTCAACTAGCTGTGACTACATCTAATTCTTTACATGAAGAAATTGGATTAGGTGTTTTTGAGTTTCCTTCACAGTCTAAAATCAAATGCAGCTTTCATTTTGCATCTTTCCCACAAATCTGTCAAACATCTGGCCAAAAACAGAATACACACAATGGTCCCTTGACTCTCCTTCCTAGTAACAGTCTTTCCTTGAGGCAGATACAAAGAGGAATTACAGGATCAAATAATACAAAGTTTGCCAACCTCTGAGTGTAACTTTATGCTTTGTAATTTAATTTAATGTATTTTAATGTATTTTAAATTGTTGTATTATTGGAACCAGAAAATTCAGGGCAAGATCCAAGACAGATGCCTGTGAGTTATTCAACAGCATTTTGTAAACAGGTAGTAGTTGGTGAAATCAATTTAGAGAAATGTGACCAATATTAAAAAAAAAATAGACTAGAGTAGAAAATCTCACAATGCATCCCACAGAGGAAGAACAAGCATAATTTTACATGTAACTGGATCATGATATAAACTGTGGGTCATAATAAAAAAGTTTGAAAACAACTAGCCTAGATCCTGGTGGAAAGTGCATCTCATTTGTTCCTGAGGGGCCTGCATTTTCATAGCAGGACCTGCTGATCCTTCACAGAAGCCTCTCCATCCCATACATAATGTCTAATGGACATTCGACCCTGAAAGGTTAGATACCCTAAAGGGCAAGGAGGAGCACCCAGGAGTGTGCATCACTTCCACATGAGGCACAGGACTGGGGCAGCATTTTCCTGGCCACTGTCCACACCTGAAAGCATGGTTCCTAAAGGCAGCCAACTCAGCTTCCCCTTTACCCAGGCTGACTATTGGTTTAGAAAGGAAAGGGGAGGAGGATGGAGATGTCTTTCCTTCCATGCCCAAGGTTACAGTGCACGGAGAAAACTCATTCCCTATGGGAGACTCGGGTTTTCTTTTTTATTTCACTTAATATAATCATGCATTTGACTCACTGAAGTGCTTTTCGTGTCAGGGAGACAATGACTTCAGAGAACAAAAGGGAGGGCCTTCAAGGGAGCAGGTAAAGAAAGCCAAGAGGTTCAGGAAGAGATTCAACAAAGCAGGAGATCAAGTAGAATCAATTAGTAAAAGAACACGTCGGCGCCCACAAGGCCTCCTGGCCTTGGCTACCGGCCCACGGGGGTTAATGACGAGTAAGAGGAGCGTTAAGCCCTGGCCACATGACTCCTGGCTTTTGACTAATATAAAGACAAAGATATTAAAGGATCAAAATATATCCCCATGTATTATCAGCCTTAAAAAAACAGAGACTTTAAAACAGCTGTTTGCCTGCAAAGAGTTCTGAGATGCAAAGCTCCTGCCCTCTGAGAGATCAAAACCTGAGGCAGCCCTGCTCTCAAGGATGCCCCGTCTCCCCCTGGGGTCTTGGCTCAGAAGTAACCACCTCACAGGGGCGTTCCGTGACCACTGAACATGATGCCCCTCCTCCCACCCTGTGATCATTCACCATCATGACACCCCCTTTATTTCTGCAGAGCACTTCATAGCATCCAGAACTAGCTCCACGGGAGCAGAGACCTTGTCCATCTTCTCACACCAGACCCCCCATGCCTAGAATGGAGCATGGCTCCTCACTGCTGACAATCGTAGCTGATATTCACTGAACACTTACCGCACGCCAGGCACGTCAGAAGCGTTCTATGTGCCCACAGACACTGACGTTCTCCCACCACTGTGTGACGGAGGTTATATGTTCCTGACGTGCAGGAAGGGCAGAGCTGGGATCCACTCAGGGAGGCTGACTTCAGGGCCTGCTCCCTGAACCTCCGCAGTCTCCTGCCCGCCGTGGTGGGTTCCCAGTGGTACATGTTTTTGTGTGGGAAGTGTGAGGAGAGTAACTTGATAGTGGGGCTGTGGGGTTGGGAGGTGGGAAAGGGAGGAAAGCCTGTGAGGGTAGCAGGACCAGGGTGAGAGGCGGCCTGACTCCAGGCTGAGATGCTGTTGTTTGCTCGGTAGTAACACCTGGGAGGATAAAATGTTATACCTTTCTGAGGGCGATTTATCAATATTTATTACAAAATAAAAGAAAGCCTTAAAACATAAATTCTTTTGACCCACAAATCCCTCCTCTGGGATTTTTTTCCTAAGAAAAATCATACTTTGGTATAAAAATGTAAATATAAGGATGTTCAGTGCAGCCCAAATATCCTACAGTAAGAGCTGGATAGTAAACTTTATTCCTCTCATCTTGATGTAACCAACGGAAGGACAAAGAATGTGGGGAAATAAAACATAAAAATTTTAAAAATATGTCACAGATTAACCATAGGTGGGGAAATTATGGGAAATTTTTCTTTGAGTTTTTTGGTGTTGGCCAAACTTTTGCTTTGAATGTGTATTCCTTTTGTATTTGAGGGAAACTGTTGCTTTGATTAAAGGCAGGTTTTTGAGCAGGAGTGGCACGATCAAAGCTGTACTTCAGGATTAATCCAGACCAGAGGGAAACAAGACTAGTGTAGGAAGGGCAGTGAGAACTCTGTTGCAATAATGTGGGTGAAAAGCTAATGAGGACCTGGGCAAAGGCGTTGGTAAGAAGAAAGGAAGGACCACCTCAGTGTGTGAGGGACTGGGGTCCTTGAGCACGTGGCAGGCTGGTAAACCCCTGGGGAAATACCTTGACTTCCAGGGCTTCCTAAGTCTTGGATGAAGACTAGGGCAGGCTGAAAGAATCCATTACCCACAACATCCCCAGTAAGCAGGCTACAGGTAAAGGACTAGAAAGCTCCAGGCAGGGTTGGTGAAGGGTAAAATATCTCTGGCACAGCCAGCAGACAGAGAGGGCTCCTGCCACCAATGTCAGGTGGGCTCAGCTCCTTCCCTTCTCCTGCCTTTGTCCCTGCATTTAGTTCAGTTCTCCATCATTTTCCACTTCTCATTATTGTTGTCAGTATGGGGCTCTGATAAATACTTCATTCTTTATCATTTCTTCCCTTTTCAGAAATATGAAAGGGGGCTCTTTGTGAGAGTGTATGAAGATTCCTATGTGATGAGATTACTGTAGAGCATTTCTGTGTAAGGATGAAAATGTCTTATTACCTAAAGGTTCAAGTCCAACTTCCTTAGCCAAGCATTCGCAGCCTTCCACAATGGGGTCCCAACATGGGTATCCAATCTTACCTCCCAATAGCCCATAAATAAACTCTGCTTCCCTTGTTTTGTGACCTCCAAATAGATGGTGCCCAGCTTTACCTCTGTATGGCCCCACCCCTTCCCCAATCTCAAAGTCTCATTGTACCTTTTCTTTAAGCAAAACTCAGCATCCGCCTCCTCCATGGAATCCTCCCCACGCATTTCAGAACATGGAGCTCTCTTAGCATCTCTAACAATAGTTTCATATTTAGCTAATATTTACTGAGTGTTATTAATCTCCAGGCTTTATATGCATTATCTCCTATCCCTACAACTACCCGACAGGATATTACTAATTCCGTATGACAGATGAGCAGACAGAGGGTTAGGGAGGTTACATAACTTGCCCAGGGTCACTTACCTAGTAAGTGGCAAAACTGTCATTTAAACCTAGAGAGTTTGACTCCAGAATCTAGCTCTTAACCTCTGGCCAGTGGTGCTGGTCTAGAGGTTTTCAGTTTGTTTTTTTAAGGGATGTAAGACTATTGTGCTTTTTTCAAATAAAAACATCATAAACAGACCTAAGAGGAGCCAGTCTGGTGGAAGAACTGGGAAGGGGGTTCCCTTGGCTACTCTGCAGGGTCCTGGGGGTCTGAAGAACACAATGAAAACCACAGTCCATCTCAACTTCTTCATCCTAAAATAATCCATCATGGGAGAACCAGCTCCAGGACCCATCTGGTCTCTTTCCCTTCTCTGCAGTTTCTTAGACTTTGAACCACTTATTTGTCAGTTAATCGTGTACTACTATGGTGTTTCTTTGAAACATCATTTAATGGTGTCTACATGATTAACTATATCATTTGATTGTTTATACCCAGTGCTCAGCAATTCAAATAGCTGTTGGCAGGATAAAAGTGTTAGTAGGCTGGCTCTACAAGTGAAGTTATTGGGTCTTTTGCAGCAAATATAACAAAGGATGAATATCCATTGTATATAAAAGTTTCTGGAAGTCTTGCTATAATCACAGAAATGCAAACTAAAACAATAATGAGATTCCATCTTTGATCCATTCAAAAATATTGAGGAGAATAACAACCTATGTTTTGAGGGTACATGGAAGTAGACTGTCTCATATATTTCATATATGGTATGAGTGTAAATTCATACAGGCTTTTTAGAGAAAATTGGTTGATATTGAAGGATAGCAGAATATGCCATTCCCTACCTAATATGGCACTTTGGCGTAAAGATTATTTTGAGCCGCAGGCAGCTGAGAAGAAGCAGGTACAGGAAAAGCTCTCTGCCCTCCCCCATTTGTCCAAAAGCAGGACATAACTTGTAAAGATGTCCCCTCTTTCCTCTCTACTAGGAAGGACAGAAGTTAATCACCAGAGACAGCTTTAGACCCTCATCAGCCCCGAGATGCACCAGATGAATCTACATAACAAAGTCTATAGCTTAACTAGCTCTTATCTCCCATTAGCTCCCCACTATATTTACCTTCCTACAATTTGCTGCTCTAGAAACTTAAAGTCCTTTTCTTTTGTCTTGTCACTTCTCTAAAAATTTGTTGTTCTCTTGTTAAGATACTGTGTAAGCCTAAGTTCTACCCACCCTTTGAGCTATCACAGAGTACTCCCACTGTATATGTGCAATGCACATGTTAAGAAACTTCTATTTGTTTTTTCTTGTTAATCTGTCTTTAGTCTAATTTATAGGCCCCCAGCCAATAAACCTGATCCATGGAGGGGAAAATGTTAAGTTTTCCTTCCCCTACAGGATCCATCAAAACTTAAAGTAGATATTTCTTTGATCCTGTAGTTCTTCTTTTAGCAATCTTTCACGTAAAAAATATTTGCACATGTTGGCAAAGTTATATCAACAGCAACCTTCATTGCAGCATTGTTTTCAAGAGCAAAATATCAGAAGCAGTCTAAATGTTCATGAATAAGGCACAGTAACAAATTAAACAAATTAATCAATTTATTAAATAAATAAATTGTGCTTCTATGCCTAGAATGGAAAACTAGAGTTCTTTATAAATTTTTGACAAACCAATATGCGCTGGCATGCAAAGATTTTCAAGATTATGATTAAGCTTTTTAAAAAGCAAGTCATCAGATAATACATATTACATAATCTTGTTTTATAAAACAACTTTATATAATCTACCATTATTTAAAAGCAAGTAGTCAAATTTTTAACACTTCTTTCCTATGAGGAAGGAGCAGAATTGGGAATACATTGTACGTCAAAGGGGGCTTGGGCTCTTTTTTTAATCCCAGTACATGAAGTTTTTACTTTTTATAACAAGCATATATTTTTGTGTATTACTTGTTTAATTAAAGAATACTATTTTGAAAGATAATATAACATTTTAGGCTTACTCTGGTGGAGATAACCGAGGGGGAAAATACCCTAGAATTTAGCACAAAAACACTCAGAAATCTAGCATATGAACAAGCCTCTTGAGAATTCCCTATTAAACTCTGGCTTATGTAAAATACAATGTGCATCTCTAATTTCTAATGGTTTCTAAGATATATCATTGAGAACACAGTTTTAGGAAATGTGTAACTCCATCTTAGTGCCCTCTCCTGGCGGGCCATGTGTGTCTGTCTGCCAGGCTGGCCCAGCCTGCTGGGCTCTGTTCTTCTCACTCCCAGCAGAGGTGTGAGCTCAGAAGGCAGGAGCAGCAGCTCCCTAAGGAGAAGCCAGACCAGGAGGAGAGGTCTAGGATCCCACAGGTGGTCCTCCTGAAGCTCCAGGATCAGCCACAGAAACAGCTTCCCGAGTACCAAGGGCACTTGGGAGTTAAGGCCAAGGTCCCTGTGGGCATCCTCAGACTCCCCAAGGCCGTTCCAGTCCCAAGATGTTAAAGAAAAGATTGTCCACAGCTTCAGGGTGAAGCTGAACCCATTCATAAAGAAAGGAATGATTGTATTGTTAGAGCAGGCAGATAGCTAGAGATGAGCAGAGAAAGGGGGACACAGACCAAATGGCAGGAATTGGGCAGAAAGAAGGGGCACAGGCCAAATGCAGGAAGCCACACATGTAAGCAGCAGGGATCCTTGGGCAGAGAAAGAAAAGCAGGAACCTTGGGGCTGCTAAGGGATCATGCCTTTTGGGATGACAAGTGGCCTGGAGAGGAACAAAGAAAGATGAGAAAAGGCAGGAATTTCTAGTGTCCGAATGTAACCTTTTGCTTATTATGCCCTCATTTCAATAAAATTAGCCTTGCAAATCAGAAGTACCCATCATGCACCAACGCCATGACACTTCCGATCCAGACTAAATAAGGACAAAAATCCCTCCTCCCTTTCGGAAGGTGGAGTTGGGATGATAATCAGGGAATACGACCCCAAACCCTTCCCTCCCCAGTGAATATTCTGCCCATTCATTTTCACACCCTATGTAACTAACTTGACAAAGAAACTCAGGGCAGCTGCTCACCTGAACCTGCCTGCTCTCCCCTGAGAGTGTACTATCCATCTTTTAATAAATCCTCACTTTACCTTTTTTTTTAACCTGTAAGTCTTGTCTTTGAATTCTTTCTGGGACGGGACAAGAACCTGGAACACCGGTTGCATCTATCGGCAACTGTATGATTGTGCCAGGGTCTGAAAGCATGTGAGAAAGTGGGAGGAGGGAGCCCGATTACATGATGAAATACCAACATCAGTTTAGGCTCTCCTGTCTCTTCTGTTCACCTTCTACCCTCTCCAAACATCTCACCTCCCTTGACACCGCAGAAAAGTTATATTCCCAGTACTCACCCTCAGCCATCTCCCTCCTTCTTCTGTCAGCCAGGGCCCTTCAACTAATCAGCATTAAGATTCTAGACCAAACTGCCTCTCTGAGCATTTACAGTCATCCTACCAGAACCTTTCCTTCCATCCTGAGTCGGGTGGGGCTGCCATTTCCTCCTCCTCCTAGTGCTCCTCCTCTTCTTAAGTTTCCCGTTGTTCCGGGTGCATCTTAGCTCAAGGAAAAGAGCTTTTGTCTACAGCCTTTTTTTAAATTGCTGAGGGATTTGTTTCTGTGGCCTCCTTTTTAAGCCGGGGAGACTCAAGTGATATGGGAGGCAAAGGATGGTTTGGATCTGTCCCTTTGAGCCTCTGTCTCTACAAGGCTTGGGACCTGATTCACCAGAGTGAATCTAAGCTAAGAGGGCTTGGGGGATGGGGTGGCTGGAAGGGAGATGAGTAAGGAACGGAGCTGCCCTTGGAAGGTCATACACAAATAGTCATGAAATTGAGTCTGACCAGCTCATTAGGACCAGGAGAACTTTGTATCTTGAAGAAAAAGGAATACATAAAAATGGTGAATTATTATGCTGTTGATTAAAAATGAAGTTGATAAAATTTCCAATGACAAGGGAGAATGCCTATAATATAATGTTAACGGAGGGGGGGGAATGAGATACAAAAACAGTGCGGCTTACCTCAATGCTGTAAAAAATGCTATTTGTGCAGGTAGACCCCTTTTTAAAAGATGGAAACAAATATGACAAACTGTGATTGTTTGAAAGCAGTGAGATTGGAATGATTGTGATTTCTTGATTTACACTTTGCTTAATTAAAAAAAAATCCACAGTGGGAGGGTAAGTTGTTTTAATAAGGGAGGAAAAAAATACTTATAAGAAAAAGTGAGAAAAGGTTAGGAGGACCAGGGTTACAGATCTGAACATGAGTATTTTACCAGATTCACAGTTGAAAAAGAGAAGCAGAAGCATCCAGTCAGCACTCCTGGAGGAAGCATTTGGTTTTGTAAAAGAAGAGTGCTACAGAGAAAACAGAAAGATATTTACATGTGTACTGATCATTATCAAAGGTATGCATGAGGCGCCTAATTCCCTGGGTTAATCTGTGTGATTCATCGCAAATTCTCACACCTGTTGTAACCAAAGCTTTCTGTCTCAACCTCAGCCTTTTTACAATGTGATGTATTTAGGAAATGGTCCTCGGTTGGAGCCATTAAACTTGCTCATACCCACTGTTTACTGAGCATCCTGGGAACTTTGTTTTTATCAAAATTACTGCGTTTTGGCTCAGAAAAATGATACTTTGGTTACTGGTGCAAGAATCCCTTCTGGTAGAAATACATGCTCTTTTGAGGAAGGCAGAATTTTTAAAAAATGACTCTTTGTAATAAAAGTCCTAATTCATATTAAAGATACTTTAAATGTAGATTTGTTTAAATGGGGGAAGGAAGTATATATTTGGTAAATTTCCTTCCTGTAATTTTGTCTATGCTGAGGTGGGATTTTTCCCACCATAGTTGTGGTCATACTGTATCTTGAAGACAGAACTTGTTTAAAGTAAGAATTTCCGTATAAGACAATTTGCCATTCTATTTGAAAATAAAGCTTTAATAATGTAAACTTTACTTTTGCCTTGTAAAAATAAGCTTTTACACTTGATGTCTGTATGCATGTACATATGTTTTTATTTCAACCTTTCCATTTTTATTTTGGAGCCTAGATGATAAAAGAGGGTTCCCCCCAAATAATCACAATATTATTATCCAAATTGACCAAAGAAATTCCACTTTGTCAGTCCCACTGGCCCTATTAAGACTGTGTCCCAATTTCTACTGCTACTCTCATTCTTTCCTTCCTTCCTTCACTTTTATAAGCATTGATGACTATAATGTTGATGGCACCATATTAGAAGTTTTGAGGTACATAAAGGTAGTAAAAGCTGATCTTTAGCCTGTTGTTTAATCTGTTGGTGGGGATAAAACACACACAAATATTCTCTACAAAGGAAACCTCCCTGAATAGGAGGCTTAGAAGGATGGAGGTCCCTTAGGGAGGAGCTCAGGAAAGGCGCTGTGGTGTGTGATGTGTGGCCAGCCACTGGTCTTGAAGGGTGAAGAGGTTTTGAGAGAGAGAGAGAGAGAGATGATGCGAGAAAGGCCTTCCAGGCCAAAGGCACAGCTTGAGCAAAGGAGGAAAAGTAGGGAAAGCCAGGGCTTTTGAAATTGGCACAGAATCTGCCTGCAGCCACCAAAACTCACTTTATTAGGCAATTATTTTTAACAGAGAAAAAAAAGGTTAGATAGAGGCTTGTTAATTTCAAAATTCTAAAAAAAAAAGAAAACAAACAAAACCAAAGTTGTTTTTCCTACATTGCTTTAGAAATTAGAGTTTTATAGCTGCTAGTGGTCAGTTTTAAGACCTAAACATCACCCATCAAATTAAGGTTTTGATGACCCCTAGCTTTTTTCATAACACCACCTATGTCAACTTCTTCTACATGATTGTCACCCTCACCTGGAATCTAGCTAAGCAACGATATTGGACAACTAATTTTTAATAAAATTATAATCTGTTGATTAAATTATGATCAATATTCATCATAGTATTTCAAATCATGTTCTTTGACTGATCATATTATATTCTGTTTACTCTATAGATTTTTTTCAGACAAATGCCCAATTTTTAAATTTAGTTTCCAAGACAAAAAAAGCCCTTTAACCATAGGATCATTTCTATGTTGATAAAAGACCAACCTCTGTTATGGTTAACTCACTGGATTTGTCCCACAATGAGACAGCAAGCTCTGAGGCTCTTTAACTGTAAAATAAATACAGACACATTATAATCCTCTCCCGGCTCCACACCCTCACATGCGTCTGCTGAGTTCTCTCCTTGAAGATCCTGCTGTCACTTCAGATTCAGCATGTTCAAAATTGAACTCATTAGCCCCACCCATCCCCCAAATTCATATAATTTCTTACTCATCCTTGTACATATTACCAAACTTCATTAGTTGTTTGGAGCCTGCTATTTGAAGGTCATGTGACCAAATGGATGGAGCAGAGGTGTCTGAGTTAGAGAACCTGGTTGAAGGTGCTACTCCTGCCCTTCTGAGCTTTTTGACCTTATGTGACCTTGAGCAAGGAAGCCTCGAGGAAAGCCCTGCTCCTGTGTAAAATGGGGCTAATGGCAGTGCCCACCTCACAGAGTTGCTTTGAGAATCAAGTAGAGAGTGTTTGTGGAAGCCGGAAAGTGCTGTACAAACATTAGTCAGTCCCACTGGTAATTATGATAATAGTTATGATCCTTCAAAAGGTGAGATTCACACTAAGTGAAAGAATGTGTGTCAAGACCTGCTGATGAGATGCCCAGGGAAACATTCATGACCATCGAGAAGCTGTCATAGCCAAGTCCAGCCTCAGTCTCAGTCTTGTCAGGACTTGGTGATTCCCAGGGGGACCAAAGACATCACATGGTCAGACCCCTGCTTCAGACTTACCAGTGGCTTGCATTGCTCCAGTGGTTCACGTGTTCTGCCACTGTATTTGATCCTGACCACATTTCCATCTCTATTGCCCACTGTTCTACCTTTCACTTACTTTCTGATCTTTTGGTGGTTTGCCCAATTGCCCAGTTCCCATATCAAAGTCTTTCCCTAAGCCAGGTCCTTTCCTGGTCAGACTTTCTACCCTCTGTCTAGACCTCAGCAGAAATGTCATTCCTCACAGAAGGTCTTTGTAACTGGCTGAGGCCCTATGTTTACTCTATTGCAACACTTGGATTCTCCTTCAAAGAACTGATCATACTCTAAATAGTCATTTGTATAGTTTATCCCCCCTCCAGATTTCCTGTCTTTCTATGTGTCATTTGGGTGATCCCAACTGAATAGGCTGAGCCACCTAAAAAATAAAGCCATTTTCTATGACACCTGAGTTACAATGCCCCTCCCTTTTGTATGAAATTAGCTGGAAGTCAAGAAATTCCTGGGATGTCCTCCCCATAGGTTCTAGAGAACCCCCAGGTTTGCTTACTTTTATCCAGAAATCCTCCTGCTCTCTTGATAGCTGGTACTTGCTTGAAGACTGGGAACTCAGCCTCACTCTTTCAAGGATGGGTTGGCTGGCTCTGCCAGACTAGAGGTTCTTTACCAACTGCACAAGCCTGGGAGGATTGCAGAGGCCTTCAGTTATAAAGCAGGGAGGGTGGGGCAGGAGGGCTTAATGAAATTAGTCACATCTGCCGAGATCAGCTCCTGAGCCCCTGCTCTTGAGTCTTGGGTTCTTCTCCAGACAGCCCCTTCCTGGACCGGTGGTGAGCTGCACTTGTCTTGTGTTCCCTTGCCTGTCTGATCTCAGTCTGGACCACCCCGGCCATCAAACCTGTTTTAATACCCAAACATCCAAGGGCGGTTAGTCATAGTTGGTCCCCCAAAACCTTTTTCCCAGGGTGTTCCTCTGCTTCTTGAAAATGATGGAGGAGGAGTAAAGGAGGAATTTTGCCTAAACATCTAAAACCTGGGTTAGAGGTATGCCTAATTCTGCTGCCAACAATCTCATGAGCTTGTCCAGCCAAAAATACTTGTATTCTTTTCTTTAAGATATCTTAATCCCATCAATTATGCTACAATCAAATTTTGTTACTTTTTCAGGCTGTACATAATCTAATTTCTTCCACATCTTTCCATTCCCACCCCACATCCCACCAGGCAGGGTCAATAGCTCCTCTCCTGGACCATTGCTCCTCCTAACTGGCCTCTCATTGTGTCATTTCGAACCCACACAGTCCTACACAACAGTCAGAGTGCTCTTTTAGAGAAGCAAAAATTGTCAGATCAGTCCCTTGCTTAAACTCTTCTGTATCTTTTTATTCCCCTTAGAGTAAGATCCAAAAGATATATTTGGTCCCCGAAGCCCTGCATGTTCCAACTTCCACTTTCCTTTTCCTCACTGTCTCTCTGCCACAGCTATTCATTCATGTGATAAGTTTTTGCTAAACATCTAAGTGCCAGGTGCCAGGGATACAATGGTGAATAAGACTGATGAGGTCCCTGCCCTCAGGGAACTTTACATTATAGTGGGCAAGACAGTCAATGAACAATGAAGTAGATGGATAAATA